TCTTTTGTCAAAGTGAAATATTTATCGTTGTCCCTATTACTGATTTGTACTTTGAGTAGATTTTTTTGGTCTGATTTTATTGTTGTTATTCTCACTTCCCTCCTGCTAATATTTCTCTGGTATCTCTTTTTCTCTATCATTATTTTAATCTTCCTATTGTTATTATTGCCTCCTATAAATAGTCTATGAATAAGTTTTTGTCTTTTTATTTCATCCTGTCTTTTAACTGTCCGGTTTAACTCACCCGCGTTTCTTGGAACCAGTCATATTTGGACTTATTTGCCATCTGAAGTTTTATATATGCTGTGCTTTCCACTTCCTTCTTCTTTTTCTTGTTTTTTCCATTGATCGAGCATTTTTCATTCTTTTTTTCCCCTAATATTTTGGCAATTATGCCTCCTATCTCACTTCTTCAACTGGTTATCCTTAGGTTTCACACAAATATTGAACATAATTTTTTATTGTTGTCTAGAGTTAATGTACTCTCCCCACCACCCCCTGAAGTATAAGAAGAGCTTTCTTTCTCTAATTCCTGCTTCACTCCTCAACCCCACCATCTCCCACCTCTCATGCTGAGATCCTCTGAGTCTTAATTTTTAAATTATTAATTCTCATTTAGGCTTAACTTGTGTTTTACTCTTCTTTTTCTTTTTTTTATTTTTCTTTTTTCTTTTTGTTTGCTACACATATCCCACATTTTCTTCTCTGATTCACCTTTTAAATTTTTTTGGAGTAGAACTTCTAGATATTCTTTCAGGTTAAAGTTTGCAGGTAGTAAACTTAAGAGTCTTTGCTCATGCATTCCGCCATCACACTGCAATAACAGTTTATATGGGTACACATTTTAGTTTCATAGTTTTTTTCTCTCAGAACTTCAAAATATTGCTCTGTGTCTTCTTGTAAGGCCAAAGAGAAACTTAAACTCAATCCAGTTCTCGTTCCATGTTATGGATTCTATTTCTTTTAACTCACAAACTTTTTAGAACGATTTCTTTTTTTCCTTGATTTTCTATGATTTTGCCACAGGGTGGAAGTGTAGGTTCTCAGTGGGCCCTTTTAATTGGCATGACTTTTTTTTCAATTCTGTACATTTTTCTTTTCTTATATCTTTGAGAACTTCCTCCCCTTGGTACTCTCTGTTCCTGAAATATGCAGTGATTAATGTTGGAACTTCTTAAACCACCTTGCATGGCTCTTAACATTTTTAAGTCATTAACAGTTTCTCTCTCTTTATCTTTTTATTCTGTTTTGTATTCCACATTCAGTCTCCCAGTTGACTTTTAGCTGTGTTCATTCTGCTGCTCAGTCAACTTACTGAGCTTTTGTAATAATTAAGTTTATTTCTAGGAACTCTAAATGAATATTTTAATAATTTCCTGCTTATATTTTACTTTTTTTTTTTTTCAGTGAGGAAGATTGGCCCTGAGCTAACACCTGTTGCCAATCTCCCTCTTTTTTGCTGAGGAAGATTGTCCGTGAGCTAACATCTGTGCCCATCATCCTCTATTTTGATTAGCAGTGTATGTCCATGTCCGGGATCCGAGCCTGCGAACCTGGGGGCAGCCAAGGCAGAGCACACTGAACTTAACCACTACACCACAAGGCTGTCCCCTAGTTTACCTTATCTAATGTCTCTTGTTTGACCTATTGACTCTGTTGAGGTTGATTTCTTTCTTTCATGTGGTTATTTCCCTCCAGCATTTGGTAATCTAGATTATATGCTTGTCTCTGTATTTGAGATTCCTGATTAACCTGTCTGTGAATGCTGTTTTGGTCCTTGGTCCTCAAAGTTCACACGTGCAAAATGAAGAAATGCAAATAAATAAGGAATTGTTTTATTTCTACTTGGAAGGATGGATAGAGTAGTGGTTAGATACCACTGTATCACACCCAGCCAGATGGCCTGGTTCAAATCCTAGCTCAATCATTTGCTGCCTAGGTAACCTTAAGCAAATTACTTAATTTATCTGTGCCTCAGTTTCCTCTTCTGCTAAATGTGGATAATAATAACATACCTCTCAGGATGATTGAGAGGAGTAAATGGGCTAACACATGTAAGTGTCTTCGATCAACACTGGTACACAAGCACTCAATAAATATGAGGTATTATTATGGCTCTAATTCAGAGATTTCATGGCTGCAGTCTTATTCTGGATATTGAAACTCACCCGTTCCTTAGACCCAATATTGAAAAAAAAACTCAAGGCTAAAAAGAAAAGTCACAGCTCCCAACAATTTGGGGCATAATTAGGATCAAATGAGGAATTTCTCTTCTCCCTTTGATTGTCAATTGAAATGATATTTTTACTGAAGGAATTTCTTTACTAACTTTTTGGAGTCTTTGACTGCATTGGATTCTACTCAAAGCAACAAGCATTTAATTTCTATGATGTTTACAACATGGTGCTAGGTGCTGGAGATTAAACATCCTACACTCACATATGCAGAAATACATCTGAGAAGGATTTTTCTGTTACATTTGCACACAGAAGCCAACTTGACTGGGCATGAAATTCTTTAATCATATATTTTCCTCTCAAACTTGTAGACTAAGTTTCATTGTCCTTAGAAATTTAATACAATACAAATGTCTGAGGCCCATCTGATTTTTTATCCTTTTATGTCAACTATTTTCTTTTTTGCCCAGATTCTAATAGAATTATTTTCTCAATCTTTTATTTTGAAAAAATTTTAGCAAGCCTATTTTGCTTATTTTTCTTGGAAATCAATCAGTGTAATCAGGTGACCATCCCAGTTTAGAAAGTTTTCTTTAATTATGTATTTGATTATTGATTTCATGCCAATTAATCTGTTTTCTTTCTCAGAAACATCATAATTCTCGGGTTTACTTCCTGTTGTCTCTTTATGTTTACCAATTTTCCTCTTATTATTTCCTCCACATTCTAAGAGAGACATTCAAATACTCCCTATTCATCACTAATTACATTTTCCAATGCATCAGTTTTGCTTCTTTGATGCCTCTAACACCTATTTAAATTTTGCTACTGTATTTTTAGTTCCCTAGCGGTCTTACATTTCTTTCAGTTCTTTCACATCTCATCACAGTTTATCTTCGTGGATTTCTGCTCCAACTCCATAGAGGCCATGCCTTCTTAAACACTATTGATCATACCAAAAAGTTGTCTAAAGTTCCCTTCTGGTTTTTGCCACACGTCATTTTCTGAAGTCTCATCTTTATGTCTATAGAATGGTGTATCCATTCCTCATTTGCCACTATATTTTCTTCATAACTCTATATTTTTATTCCCATTTACTTAACCTTGGACATGGTATCATCTATTCAGAACTTGTGTGTGTCAACAGAGGGTGTGTGGATTTCCGTCAGCACCCCTGCTGTGCATTTGATTGCTTCTTAAATCCTTTCAGCCATTTGTAGCTAAAACATTGCTTAATGCACATTATGGATAACATTATTCAGAAGGAAAACAATGTATTAGAATGTGGTGATTTTTGAATTAAATATTAAGTCTATAGAATACATTGGTAAAAAGTGTGCATATGTGGGAATAAATTTTGTGTTTTATTGAGTAAAAAAAAGAATAAGACAGTGGATTCGGGAAAACAAGAATACAACATAAGTAAGGTGGATGAAGAACACGTTGGAAGTTGGCATTCAACTGTGGAGCAAAGAAATCCACGGAGACAACTGCACAGCTTCCTCACCCTGTGGCCCCGGTTACAGGACCTCTGCCTCAGGTTAACAATATTGTAATTTTAAAAATGCCACACATGCAAAACAAGTAAACAGCAATCAGGGATGAAGCAACAGATGTCTGACTTGCCCCACCTCCAGGAAAAACTGGGGAGGAGTTTGAAGGGGAAATATGCTTTAGATAATGTATGAAATCATAAGGAGAACCTGGGTTGAAATAAAGTAGAGCCTGTGAACTAGAGAGCACTGCAGAGCCTGTTGAGTACTACATGTTCATGGTTCTCGTCCCAGAATATTTATAGTTGGCATAAATGAATCAATTGTTTTTGAATCTACATAGTCTCGCTTGTTCTACTTGTCAACATTGCTGGATGGAAGGAAGCTTGACCTAGAAATGGAAGAGCTCATTCCGTTGATTTGCATGCTCTGGCTAGTTTTCTAGCAATTACACCAGCCTACTGACTTGCATGGTCTCTCTGCCTCTGGCTGGCACACTGACGTGTCAGTCTCACTGAAGGGTGTAAGAATGAAGAGAGTCAAGAGCTCCTAATTTTGAGGGTAATTCCTAGTATCTCATAGGCTTCCATCTAGTGTAGTTCTGCTGGACAAAGTTAGAATCCTCTCCTCTCTGTATGGCCTGAATCTCTGATACTCTAAACATAGAGGGTAGATGAAATATACAAACCCAAGAACACTGCCACCAGGGCTCTTTCTGTGCTTGCCCCACCAAAAACCCTTTAGTTGTGATGACAAAACTGCCTATGGTGGAAAGTGCCAATGCCTATCCTCATCTTCCTCCAAGTCATACCTGGGGAGTTTCATTCAGTCTTCAATTGGCTGCAGAAAGGAAACAAATGAATAAGAAAGACAGAGGGTGGGAGACAACAGCAAGTACAAAGTAGAGATGTGGATGTCCAGAATTTAGATTAGCAGAAATCTTGTGTTTCTAAACTCAGGGGAAGACAGTAGTGGGAGGAAAACAAGACAGATTGACGCAAGTGTGGCATGATACAGGTAACCCCTAGACGATGTCTTGCCATCCAGTGCCATTAGCTTGTAGTCAGCAGAAATTTCTTCCATATTCTGGTGATCCTTTGACTATCACTCTTAGGTTTTAGAATTGTTGTGAGTTTCATCTTTTTTGTACTCCTTCATATGTAATTATGGTGGAAAGTTGGGAGAAATTATTACTGGCACAAGATATATTTTTCCTACATAACTGAGATGAATTGTTAGTTTTATAGATTATGTATTTCTATATATTTGAATGAAAATTTTAAATTTATGTCACTAAAAAAAGTCAGTTGGCAAGACATTGTACATATCGTAACTCATGACAAAAGTGCTTTATTCACTAAGAAGAAACATTTTAATCAATCAAAGATTAGTAAAGACTATGTTTACTGATTTATAGAAAGATTTAAGAATCTCATTCTTTCTCATTACTGTAAATAGATACATTTTCCCCTCGTGATTAAAATTCTGAAAAATCCCATTAAAAATGAGAAAATGTGTTTATCAAGGAAAAGCATTAGAACATAAGCAATGTCATTCAATGCCAGACCTATATATAGGTCACAGTTACCCACCTCAGTGCCCAGCAATGATGCCACATCAGCATGGAATCAGCCCTCAAAACGTCAACCCCAAAAGGTACCATAGGAGAGACTAAGTATTTGATTATCTGAGATAAATTTGACCCATGGGACATGCATTCTGGGTAAAAAACTTAGAAGAACTGCTTCGAACTGCTTCATATTACCAATGAGAAATTTTTTATACCATAAACAAGCTTCGACAATGAGAAGTTTGTACGAAGAATGTGGAACTTCTCTCTCACAGCACAAAGAAAACGCTAGTGTAGAGGAGAACTGGGGGGAGGCAGCCAGCATGAGAGCAGGTGAAGTTTACCTACCTTCTCCTGCAAAAACGGCTACAGCCACACTTAACCAACACAGTGGCAACTGGGAGGAGGACTGTCTTAGGGCAGGGCAGAGAAACCGGGCTACAACCAAGACCAGAAATTCACCTCCACAGAAGAGAGACTGACCAATTCCTCCAGTTAGGCATGTCAGTGGTCATTCCAGAGCATTCAGCTAAGGCAGAGATCAAGAACTCAGACCCACATTTCAGAGAACAAAGGTCCCAGGTCCTAGAGTCTTGAACACTCCAGCATCAGGCTTTCAGTAGACTAGAGCTTGATATGAAGCCAACAGCCTTCCTGACAAGGATTTCCACGTGCATCATGCCCAAGCTCAGGCCTACTCTCAGGACACGACCAAGCATGAGGCCTCTGGAAGGACAAATAGGTCCATGTGGCCAGAGTACAGAGAGAGGGGAATGAGGAGCCCAGTGGTCCACAGTGAGGGCAGTGCTTCTCTCCCACCTCACATTTGGAATATTTAGGAGTAACTACAGGTGAGAATTCTCTGAGGAAGAGTGTGAGGAAGAGACAGAGGGAAGTGCTTCATGCTGATGCCCTAGGAGACTCAATAAGGAAAACTGAGACTAATCTCTTTTAAATCCACTTGCCAGTCTACTGGGTCAATGTCAAATTCTCAAGACAAATACCATTCTCCTGCTCTGTGAAAGTGAGTGCTGGCTGAGGCAGTCCTACATCCTTGAACTATCACCTAAATCCACCCCAAGCCCTACTTTCTCCCAAGTAAGGAAGCACCTCACAGAACATCTTCCCCGCAGTTAAAGATGGTGGAAGAAGAAGAGGCAAGATATGTTGCCCAATGATGGGCCATGATTTTAACTCCCATATTTCATAGCTGAGTTTCCAAAACACATTCCATTTAAACATTTTCTCTAGCCACCATGTTCATTCTGAGTTTGCCATCTCCTAGAAGTGGTCGAATGACTTGAACTTTCAGAATTCCCTCATAAGGAGGTAGGTAACTTATAGTCAATATGATTCTCAATTATGTCAACCTTCAGGTCACAGAGGGTGAATTTATATGCTTGAAAGCTTAGGGTGGTGAAAGTTTAGGGAGGGAGCAAGGGTCTTTTGATACTAACGGACTTAGATGAAAATCACCTACAGGGTGAGAGAAAGATCAGGACAAGTGCTGGCCAATGGCTGGAGAAAGGGAGCCTGGAGCTGTGATGGGATTCAGCCAGCTTTAGATATTAGCAAAAATGCAAATTCCCATGTTATACCAGGGGAAGACTACATTGCCATTTTCTTCCAGCTCCCAAGTATTAGACAGTGTGCTCCTTTCAAGGAGAGCAGACCCTGCCATAGAAGAGAATGGTTTGGGTTTTGTTGTGTCTAATGAAAAAGAGAAAAGGATGATTGGCATTAAACGTCACCCAGGATGGTGTGCCCTTTTCCATGCCGACAGCTCCACTGGCTGCAGCTACCTGTGTGCCATTTTCATTCACCTCCACAAAGGTTTTATGGACAACTTTGGACAGGTACAAATTGGGACTTCGAGAGATTCCTGTCAGATCAGCCTTTGTTTCATCAAAGATATCCGTGATGCCCATGTCTTGTAGAATAGAATTGAGATCATAGCTGTCTTCCAGGGTGAACTGGGGAAGGGAGACAGCTACTCTTTCTTCTGACATATTTTCTGAACTGCTCCAGGCCACTAATTTTTCATAGGTGATATTCCTTTCAAGCTATAAGAGGAAGAAAATAACATTTAAGATCAGATTTTGAGCCTGCAAAGAATACTCCAACTACTTCAAAGAGTCCATCTATTTCAACAGTCAGTAACAATCTTCAAGATCTTTCCCTAAGCCTCAAAATACTCTGATTTTATTTAAAACTCCTCCAAGCAAATCTCTTTCCTCTTTAAAAGTTACAGGATAGTTAGGGTTCCAGTGGTCTTTGGTGTCTGACAGACTAGTGTTCAAAGCCCAACAAAGGTCGATTGACTAAGTTGGGTGAGTTTGGCAAAGTCTTTACATTCTGAAGTTCAATCTCCTCTTCTATAAAACAGAGATGTCATTAGGCTCTTGCAAGGAATAAACAAAATAATGCATGTAAAGTACTTAACACAGGCCAGGCACGTAATAAATTTTGAATAATTATTATTATTGTAATTACTATACTGGCATTTCTCTCTCGCTTGCTCTCTCTCTCTTTCTGTCTTTACCCTATAGGACAATATGTAGCAGAGCTTCCTCAGCCTTTGTTAATTCCTACCTCACAAGTAATCTATTCCAGTATCAGTATCTCCACTTCTGTCAAGGCACATGCACCCAAAAACAAGATTCAGCTAAATGGTCTTTGAGCTATAGCAAAATAGTCTGAGTAAGAGGCCAAAAGGCAGGATATTCAGAGAAAAGGAAAAGTGGTTTCCTTTGTAGCAAGTCTCAAGTTACTCAGCATCCAGATTCCTTATCTGGAAAAAACAACTGCAGAGAGAGCTACGAGATTAGAGAGGAAAGTCCTATCCAACGTTTTTGGTATTTGTTCTTTAGTTCTAAACAAATGAGGAATAAATATCTCATTGAATTCGATTCTCATATATCCTTTGATATCCCTGATAGCTCAGGTAACACCCTTCCTCAGGATGGTAGATGGTAGATAGTGCTGCTCTCCAGAGATCTGTAATGAAATATTTTGTAGAGACATGAAAATGAAGATCTACCTCTTCCAGGCCCTTCACGTTATCTGCAGAGCAAGATGGCAGCAGGATGAACATGCTGAGTTCCCCCTTGATATACCTCATTTCAAGGATCTGTGCCTTCAGCTCCTCTATGAAGCCAATTCTAAATAGATCCTTTTGATTCATCATCTTCACAGTCTTCTTTTCATTCTGTAGTGGACAAAGTAGAAAGTCACAGGACTGCCATGATAAGCTCACAAACTCACATGGTTCCCAACTTCCCTGGAAACAGGAGTCCATTAAGATGAGAAGGGTCTTCACCAGAAGTTCTGAGCCACACTAGTGATCCAATCAAGAGAGTCCTCTGCCCACTGACCAGTTGGCCTTTCCTTTGCCAACACTTTATCTTCCTGTGGTTTTAATAGGTTCTTCAGCTACCAAGACCGCTTGTTGGTAGACTGTCTTTCCAGGCATCTACCCAGAGCCTAACTTTCAGAAACAAGCCCTGCCAGCTCTCTCTCTTCCATGTCTGCTCCACCCCCGTCTCTCAGCTTCACTTGATCCTTTGCCCCCACTAGCCTGAATGCCCCCACCCCAGTGTCAATAGGAGCCTTGGTTAAACGATAATCATCTACATATTAAATAACAACACAAAGGCCGGCCCGGTGTGGCGTAGCAGTTAAGTTTGTGTGCTCCACTTCAGCAGCCCAGGGTACCCCGGTTCGGATCCTGGGCGTGGACTCACTCACCACTCATCAAGCTATGCTGAGGCGGCATCCCACATAGAAAAACTGGAAGACATGCAACTATGACATACAATATCTACTGGGGCTTTGGGGAGAAAAAAGGAAAAAAGGAGGAAGATTGGCAACAGATGTTAGCTCAGGGCCAATATTCCTCAATAAATAAATAAATAAATAAATAACAACACTTGTTCCATAGGCTTTCATCAGAGAAAAGGGCACCACCTGCACAGTACGTGGGGGATCATCAATCTACAGATGAGAATGCACAGCACTTGAGAGAGTAACGCAGCTAACAAGTGCTGAGCTGGAATCTGACCCCTCCCTTTTCTCTCTTTCCACAGCTTGGCAGCTTAGTACATGGGTTTTTGAGGCAAATACTCACGGATGAGAATCCCAACACATGAATTTGGCTAGGTAACCTTCGCATTTTTTCCCCTCAACTCCTAAGTGGGAATAATAATAACACCCATTTTCATAATGTTATTTTGAGAACAAATGAAATAATGAATGGAAAATGCTCAGCACAGTGCCTGACACAAAAATATTTAATAAACTTCAGGTACTGATTTTTGTTAATAGCAAAATGTTCTTATTATAAATGTAAGCTGTAACCCAGAGATCTAAGTTTTAGATTTGAGTATACATCCTGAAAATCATTCTAAGTGGAAATTCTGAGTGGAATATCTAATACGTTACCTCATTTAGAGAGAAAGATGCATCAACTGTGTTTTCACAGTCAAAATATTTTTCCCATTTGGCCTTGAAGTAAACAGCGTTCACCAGCACCAGCACGGTCGCATTGGTAAGAGCGTCCTTGCTGAAGAGTTCCTTGATTTTACCTTAAAAAAAAAAAGGTTCCAGAGAATATCCTGAGTATGAATTTTATCAAAAGTATTCATGTAGACAGATTTCTTTTAATGCAGCTTAACATCCCCAAGGCTAGAGCATGTCTCATTCAAGAACTGACCCACGAAAATTGAACCACTCATAGTCCAGGATGGGGTGGAAGTAGAGGTAAGAGTGGGACTGATGGGGGGAGGCACCCTCTCACTAAGAGGGACTCAATTCTGAGCACCGTAACTGAGGGAATTTCCTTTGATTCTCTGTATCACTGTGGTTAGAACTTGTCATCAGATATCTTATGCCATGGTTGAGCTTTCAAAGTATATATCCTGCCACCTGATTATATTATCATCTCTTTGAGAAAAAGCACCGTCGTGTAAACTTCCTATCTCAAGCACTTATCACAGCAGATAACAAAAATGCATAGAAATGCTTGCTTATAAAAATGTGTATAAATGTATGAGGCCATGATATAAAACCTGTTTTATAGGGACTTTCACATTCCCTCTCTCATTCCATCCCACATCAACCCTGAGAAGTAGGTATTGTTATCCCTTCTTTATAGAAGAATCAACTACAGCCAATGAGAGATGAGGTTACACAGCCAAAAAGCAGCAAGGCAGACTGAGATCACTCCTGGGGCATTCCCGCTCCTGGCCCAGCTTTGGGGGTCCCCCCACAATAACCAGCCCTAAGGCAGACTGGAAAAGCCCATGCTATTAGCCAATAGTCCACATTCAGTATGCATCCTTCTCCACCTTAAAATACCAAATCATCAGTTACTTGAATGCATGTCTAGGCCTTAAGATGAGAAGACCTTTCCACCTCAAGAAGATTTCCACTTAAATCCCATGGTAACAGATTACGTTGACATCATCTACACTTAAAACACTTTGGGAGCGCTAACTAACTGAGAAACTAGATATTCACGCCTTTGTGTGAATTTCTTTAGGGAACCCACTTTCCTCTTAGCAACTTAGCGGAACCTTGAAGGAATGGGAATTTTTGTGGCATGTGGAAGAAGTAAGGAGAAATGATTTTGGAGTTTGAGTGCTTCCCCCAAGAAAAGGCCAGGAAGGGGTACCCCACCCTAAGCCAATGTAGGAGAACAAGAGATAGGGAAGGAAAGCCATCAAATGGAAGAGAGAATCAGAAAGCATTGCACCAGATAACAAATTGAAGAAAGTCAGACATTCTTCCCAGGCCATCAGTCACTGAGAACATGTGCAAATGCCCTGGGCCATGGTCTTAATCTGAAGGCAAGAGAAGTGATGTACTATATGTGCTCTCTCATGTACTCCAAACTTTTCATTGCACAGAAACATCTTTCTCAGCCCTACACTGGTAGTCAAAAAATGCCCTGATCTGTCCAGCAGTTTGATCTGACCCTCCAGGGAAGCCACTAACCTGTAGGCCCGAGGGAAAGAGTTTATTCTGTTTCTACCACATGTGCGCTGGTAGAAGAAAGCACTCACTAAGCCCTACCTGAGGTACCAGCATCAAGGAGGCTGACATCCTCCCTTCTTCTCCACTGAAAGCCAACAAGACCACAGACCATTTCCCCCCATCTGTGAAACACAGATTTGGGGAGGTTTGAGTCTCTAACATGGGGATGGTGGGGAATGAATCTACTGGGGAGATGGTTCAGGGGGACAAGACCACTGCAAGTAAACAAGAAATGGGAAACAAAAAGATTTAAAGAAGTTGAAGCCTCTCACTTGTTGGCTACACTGAGTTCAGAACGCAGAGACTAATCCTTAAATAGCAATAACTACAATAAATAACACTTCTAACCTAAGGACACAAACCTTGTTCAAGGAGTTTATCAGTCTTAGCAACCCTTTTTTCCAAAAACTTAAATCATCAATAGGGCATATTCCCATATAGGAAAATCTTTAATTTGTTTGAAAAATTGCATTAAAGTATTTGACATGTTATAAGGAGATATAAATGGGGTGTCAGAAAGGCAATTTCTTTGTATGGGCTTACTGTCTCTGCTTTGCATTTTGAATATTAAGATGTTCAAGTTAAGGTATTATGGGTCAATCTTTTTTTTTTTTTTTTTTTTGCTGAGGAAGATTCACCCTGAGCTAACATCTGTTGCCAGTCTTCCTCTTTTTGTATGTGAGCTGCCACCACGGCATGGCCACTGACAGATGAGTGGTGTAGGTCCACACACCCAGGAATCAAACCTGGGCCGCGGAAGCGGAGCACACTGAACTTAACCACTAGGCCACCGGAGCTGGCCCAAAGTGTTACGGGTCATTCTTGATGACTCTCTGACTCTCATTAAACCATCCATCATCTATCCAAGTGACTGGTAAAATCCTTCTGATCTACATCTTAGTATCTCTCAAATCTATCCGCCTCTCACCATCTCCACCACCACCACCTGGTCAAGCTTCCAGTGCCTCTTTCTTGTTCTTCTACAATGATGCTCTAACTCTTCCATCTGCACCTGCATACACTCTTGTCCACTTCCAATCTTTCCTCCTTCGTACGATCGGAGTCATCTTTTAAATAACACACTCTCTGTCTTAAACCTTCTCCAGCTTCCCTTTGCTCTTAGTTCATCATGTGAAGCAATACTGAAAACTTTTATACTTGAGTGGGTTCTTATTAAGGCAGTGTGAATTTGTATATTGATTACAAGTACATATAAGACAGTAAGACAGCTATCATGGATTTGAAACTCCTTACAGCTCAACTAAAGAATATTTGTAAATGTGCTGTATTATTTTTGTTGTATGAATGGTGTTCTAAGTCCAAGAAATGGGGTCCTAAATAGTTCTAATATGACAGATGAACTCCAATGTCAGTGGCTATTCTACAGGGAAGATGAGTTTTGATTCTATAAGCAACTGAACAATCAGTGTTGAAAAAACTGGTGTGATTCAAACAATAATAGTGATCAATGCGTGCCATCAAAAGGAAACTCTAAACTATAATGAAAGCATTAGAAGCATTAGAAATATTGAAACAAAAAACAGAACTTATGAGGAGAAACAATTTAGAACGTAAAATTGTGGGTTCCATTTACTAAAGAAAATACAGTTTTAGAGAATCATGGAATTTTACGGAGACAAGAGATCTTCTCACTCCTACTCCATCATTTTACAGCCGTGGCTACTGAGAACCAGAGAGGTCATCAACACAACGTCATTTGACTGATTTAGCTGCAGTCAGGCCTAGTTTCATGTAGTTTCACATAGTTTTTGTTTTAATGCAAGCATCAGAGCAGTAAAGAACTCCTTACTCTACCAAGTTAAGCACAGGCACACGGTATAAGTATTTCACAAAGATTGATATTATTCCACAGTAGCACAATTTATGTTTTCTTGGAATAGCCATGTAACTGAGTTACATGAAGAAAAGATTAGAAGCAAGACATTAAAGAGTATAGGGTAAGTGAAGATTAATCCCAGAGGTCTCGTGTCTGAGGATTTGGCAGCCAGGCAGGTGTGTTGGATGAACTGGGCTGCCAGCAAGAGAGGTAGGACAGCAAATTGTATTTAAATGTCACTGGGAGGAAATGGCCACTTTGGAAGCCCATGATCATACAGTCTGATCCCTCTTCCATTTAGAGACTTCCATTTTGCTGGGAGTTGGATGGGGCTGGAAAGGGAGCTTTATATTTAAAAATTAGACCATTTACGTTGAACTCAAATTTTCACCCTTCATCACTATCTCTAAATCCCCCTTCACTCAAAGAACACCTATGTATCTAGTGAAAAGTTGTTAAGAATAAGGATTTTATTATTTTCATTTCCCTCTGAGTCACTAGATTCTCTTCAGAATCTTCTTATTGACCCTTTTAAAAAAATGGAAATAGTTAACATCCTGCTGTCACTGTGCTTGGCTGAAAGGCATTTCATCTTTGTGATGGAGCAAAGGAGCAACAATAAGGAACCACAGTACTGAAGCATTTTGACTGTTTGACACCAGAACAAGCTTTGGACACAGAGCATCTGGCCTCTGTAAGCCTAGCAATCTGAAAAGCTGGGCTGATTTGTTTTCTTTTAAATGGAAAAGCATACCAGCTACACTGTGTTTGGTTTTTCTTACCTTGGGATTGAGATTCAACCCAGAAGTTAATCTCTTGTCTGGACTTTTCAGTGTCTCTCCAGAAATCAACACTTTCAATCGTCGTGTGGTAAAATTTAATCACACCATCTAAGTATTCCTAATAAATTGGAATAAATGGAAATAATGCAATAAAATCATGTAGTTATGCTAATAGTTAGAAGTGAGGCAGTCATGAGAAGCCTAACGAGAAAGAGGTCCCTTGTCATTTAAACTGGATGCTTGTGGTCTCTGTCTACCCCAGTCTTTTTTTTTTTTTTTTGTGAGGAAGACCAGCTCTGAGCTAACATCCATGCCAATCCTCCTCCTTTTTTTCCCCAAAGCCCCAGTAGATAGTTGTATGTCATAGTTGCACATCCTTCTAGTTGCTGTATGTGGGACGTGGCCTCAGCATGGCCAGAAAAGCAGTGCGTCTGTGCGCGCCCGGGATCCGAACCTGGGCCGCCAGTGGCGGAGTGCACGCACTAAGCCACGGGGCCAGCCCCTACCCCAGTCTTAATTAGCCAGAGACATCTTTGCTGTGGTGGTGACAATTTAGGATATGGAATGTTTGTTCATGAGGCAATCCATCGTTACAACGGCATAAGACTTTCCCACCAGATGTCTTTTTATTTGGACATTCCATTTGCGGAGACATCACAAGATAAATATCAAGTAATGTGAGAGACTTAGATATAAAATGCTTCTATTTTTAAGGATTAAAACCCTGCTTAACGGTTACAGAGTTTCTGTTTGGAGTGACCAAAAAGTTTTGGAAATGGATAGGGTGATGCTTACACAACATTGTGAATGTAATTAATACCACTGAATTGTATACTTAAAATGATTAAAATGGCAATTTTTATGTTATAGATACTTTACCACAATTTTTAAACAGCTAATAATGTAATATACCAAAAACATTGATTTGTATATTTTTTATGGGTGAATTGTATGATATGTAAATTTCTATCTTAGTAAAGCTGGTTTTAAAAGAACACAGCGTACGAAATCTCATTTCCATTGTAAGAGAACATACTTATTTTTGTCAAAATAGGCTACCCCCTCTCCTTAGGAGGCCGGCCCTAACCAGCTGTATGGATTTGCCCTTGGGAGTACCATCGTGTTCATTGCTAAGTACGTGGTTCCTTCTAGTGGCGAGAGAGGAAACTGAAGCCCACAAGCACATGCATCCTGCTCTAAGGACAAAGCTGTTTAGCAACAGAGACAAGACACACGACTTTTGGGCTCCAAATCCAGTCTCCTTCTGCTACACCACTCCGCTTTCGTAAGTGAGTACAATTTCACTGGGGGGTGGTCTGATCGTGGCACAAAAGGTGATTTTAGAGAAGTGCCTTGGGGGGTCGGGACGACAGGAAGGGCAGCTGCAAGTGCATCGTCATCCAGGCGTCTTGACTTTAGAACACCGTCGCCAGATCCACACGTGCTCCGAAGGGGGTATTAGTCACATGACCCTCCTTCCACCCACTGTAGCACTCACAGCGGGCCTCCGAAACTGCTCAAGTGGAAAACTGGGAGGAGGGCAACAGAAGGTGTGGGAGAGAAAGGTGGGTCCTGGACCTCCCCGTAGGCCACAGCACATCATCCTGTCAAAGAGGTTTGTGTTCTGCACAGCAGGTGAGTAATCCAGCTACTCACCGGACAGATGGGGTATTCCTGCTCTCCGTAAAGCCTGTTGGCAATACTCAGGGTGTAATCAACTTTGATCCTGTCTAATTTGCTGAGAAGCTGCCCGAAGCAGCAGCTGAGCAGTGCACACTCATCTCCTGAAGACTCGGTCTAACAAAAGAAGAAACAAAGTGTGATCTCAGAAGAGTTAAGTGTCACTAAAGCAAGTTGTCATTTTGCTTTGTTACCACTTGGGGGAGCAAGCTGGGAAGAAGTGAGGAATGGAGAGTGAGACGTGGCCCCAGTGGGAGATCACCCAGGAAATATGTATATGGGAACTCAGCAGTGCACACCATATTTAGATCAGAGCACCTCGTTTTTCTCTGTATTCAAAAAGATACAAGAAAGAGACAATCTTCTCTCCACTCTCCTCTTAAACTTTCTAAGGTAGGAAGATATATAACCTAGAGAGTATCTTTCCTGCTCCTGGTATGAGACAACCAATAAAAGTTGTGCGTCAGTACAGATTTCAGCACGAAATAGAAGAGGCAAAAGTAGAGAGAGGGAGAGTGGAGATTCCCCAGCGGATTCCTCCCCCCGTCCCCCTTCATCCTCAGCTATGCTCCATACTGGGGACCTGTGACCTATAAAAGTAGGTGAGTACTGCGGCTCTGATCTAAGTTTCTTTATCACGAGCAGAAGAGACTAGATCCTACTCTTTAGGAAACCAGCTTACAGTCAAGGACATATAAGACACACAATCAGAAAAGAACTGCAGGTCATATGGGATTATTGCTATTGTTGTTGCTGTTGATGACAGCCAGGGCCTAATATTTAGGGATAAGCAACCATCTCCCAATATAGCTCAGCCAGAGTGAGCAGTTTGTAAGGAAGAGTGACAGGGCTCACCTGCAGAGTCAGAGACCCTGTTGTTTCTTTCTGCACTTCCAGAGAGCTGTCAACCAGCGCTTGCGTGTTGCTTTTCAGATAGGGGTCAGGTTCTTTGCTTTCATTCTGGGAAAATTCATCGAAGTGCAGTACCTGCGTGATAACAGTACGCAGTCTCTCAGACGAGATGAACAGCAGGAAGTCTGAATAGCTTCAGAAACATTTTTATAACGTGATAATGGCAGTGATTGTATAGTCAAACAAAACAATCGGCAACAGTTTAAAGTAAAATGGGTGTTTCTTTTTGACTTGGGTTGTGAGGTGGAATGGAGGGCAAGTAAACTGAATGCTACCCACCTGGGACTGCATTTAAGAATGAATGTAACCAAACTAAAAGAACAGCAAGGTAGCCACAGCCACCTGTGGCCATTGAGCCAGTCTGAAGTGACTATTAGTGTAAGACACACACCAGATTTTGAAGACTTATATGAAAAAAAAAGGATTTAAAATATCTCGTTTAAATTTTTTAATTGATTACTTGTTGATATGATAATATTTTGAATGTATTGGGTTAAATAACATGCATTATTAAAATTAGTCTCACATATTTCTTCTTATTTTCTTAGTATGGCTACTAAGGGTTTTTGTGTGTGTGTGTGAGGAAGATCAGCCCTGAGCTAACATCAGATGCCAATCCTCCTCTTCTTTGCTGAGGAAGACTGGCCCCAGGCTAACACCCATGTCCGTCTTCCTCCACTTTATATGGGACGCCGCCACAGCATGGCCCAACAAGCGGTGCATCGGTGCGCCGCCGGGATCCGAACCGGCAAACCCCAGGCCGCCACAGCAGATCACGCGCACTCAACAACTTGCGCCACCAGGTCGGCCCCTGGCTACTAAAGATTTTAATTAAATACATGGCTTAAATTATATTTGCATTAGATAGCGCTGATCTGGAGCTTCAAATCAATCAAGCGAATGAGGACAGCAAAAGACAAGTTATTGCAGAAAGGTAGGAGACAACTGGTGCATCTTGCACTGCTCAGGTAGATTTTGAGCAGGTAAGGTTAGGTTTAGTGTTAGGGTGACAACCAAGTGCCTGGAGAAAGAATATCTGAAACCTGAACTGGAGGGTACCAAACACACTCTAAAGCTAAGTTTTACTAATGGAATAATATACGAAATCAAAGTAAATGAATAAAGGTAGAATAACCCTAAACACATTCTGCCTTAATCCAAGAATTCGCTCCTCCATATTAGGGACAGCAGCCATGGTCAAGCATAATCCCTGTGCTGTGTGCTAGATCCAGGGAAGTATAAGACCAGCCTCAGGAGCCTGTAGTTTGTTTGCGGAGTTGCTCTTGTCACTTTCATTCATTCATTCTTCAAATCTGTATTGAGTGTCTACTGCTATAATCCAAGCACTGTTCTGGGATAAAGAATCCTGCGTCTAAGAGATTATATTCTAGTGGAGAAGGCATGCAAAAAGCAGTGCACATAATAATTAATTACGGTATGCAGTATGTTAGATGATGGAAAATGGCATGTGGGGGAAATTTAGCTAGGATAAGAGGGAATCTTACAAGGTTGGGGGCCAGGAAGCAGTGTTAGATTGAGAGGTCAAGGTAGGCCTTATTAAGAAGGCAAACTCTGATCAACGTCCTGAAAGGAGAAAGTAAGTTATAGATCCCCTATCTGGGGGAAGAGCCATCAGACAGAGGGAATGGAGCTAGGGCCCTAAGGCAGGAGTGGGAATGGCTTAGCCAAGAAAGCTGGGAGGCCAGGGTGGCTGGAGCCAGTGAGGAGGGGGAGGGGAGAGGTGGAGTCTCCGGGTTATCTAGAATTCAGATCCCCAGACCCTCATAGGCCATTGTAAGGACTGGGTGTCTATCATTAGTGAAATGGGAAGTCTGGGTTTTGAGCAGATGACAAACAGGATCTGTCTTAGGTTTCCTAAGGATCTTTCTGGCAGCTGGGTTGAGAACAAACTGTCAGTGGAAGGAGAGACGCCCATTAGGAAGTTGTATTCATGTTAGAAGGGACGGTGAGGGGTCAGACCTCAGGGAGACGGTGGGAAATGCCTGAGTTCTGGATATATTTCAAAAGAAAAGCCAACAGGCTTTTCTGACAAATCTGATGTGAAGTGAGAGGGAAAAGAGAGGAGTCAGGGAGGATACCAGGATCTTCAACCGCTGGATACATAACTGGTGCTTACTAAATATATATTTAATGGAATGAGTGAGACAAAAAACACATACAATATCAAAAATCCTTAGCAATGTTAGGATCAATAATTATTGAGAGAAAGAGAGACAGACATACAGACAGACAGAGAGAGAGAGAAAACGAATGAGAAAAGTTTTCAGACTAGTGAGGTTGGAGAGGCTTCATAAAGGAGGTGAAGGTTTAATTGAGCCTTGAAGAATGTTTGGACTGAAAAGAAAGCAAGGCGAGGATATAAACTAAGGCTGCAGGGCAGACGCGAATCCAGGCAAGCCCAGGGTGCAACGAGCAGGTTGGCTTGCCAAAGCACGATTAGGGTCTGACTTTGCTCGTGGATGGGAGTTACTGGACCCGCACCTGGTCGATCTGATGTGCACTGTCACTTCTGGCCCCCAGTCGAACCATGCCAAGGGCAGCCGAGAGGCTCAGAGGACAGAAGAAGATGTTTTTATGACAATCAACTTTGATGATCTCTTGGAAAAGATCAAAGCAAAATTTGGTGTTTGCTGCAATGAGAGAATCCATCGTGAAACCGATGACAGTCTAAAACTAAAAAAACAAAAACAAAAAAGAGAGAGAAAATGATGATCAGAGGAAAATAGGTAAACAGATAGTACTCATTTTAAATAACTGAGATACAATCATATACAATTATTCAACATGTTATTAAAAACTGGAAGACTAAGGTCACCATCATCCTAGACAGATATTGATGTCAGTATCGATATTGATACAGATAGAGATCTATTTTCATTTAGTGGTATAAATTAGTTCGCTAAAACTGCCGTAACAAGTTACCACAGCTGGGTGGCTTAAACAACAGAAATTTATTCTGCCTCAGTTTTGGAGGCAGGTATCCAAAATCAAGGTGTTGCCAGGATTGGTTCATTCTGGAGGCTCTTGGGGAAAATCTGTTTCATGCCTCTCTCCCAGGTCTAGTTGTTGCCAGCAATCCTTTGCTTTCCTTGGCTTGTAGAGGCGTCACTCTAATCTCTGTGTCCGTCTTCACAATATTGGATGACTATATGTAAGCACTTATAAAAGGAAAATCCCTCCTGGCTTTATACAAAACTCTAAAATATAGAGAAAGTGAACATTTAACAACTTGATTAAAATGTCATCTGGGTTTTTTTTTTCTTTTTGAGTTTTTAAATTAGAAACTGGCTAAATCTGACAGTAACCTAATTATTCAATAAACATTTATGAAGTTCTCCCACTGGGTTAGTCACTGCATATAAAAAGATGAACTGAACGAGATGCAACCTCTGCCTTCGAGAAATCCACGACCTAACCGAACAGATACTGCAATATAGGCAGCTACAGCAGAGAGTCTAAGGAACGTGGAGGAGAAAGAAATTAATTTACAAATGAAATGGAAAAGGCAAAGGAATATTATGTAGGAAGATTTTTTTAAACAGCACTCATCCAAATGTAGTTATTCTAATAATTCAGATTCAAATAGACAATTTAAAACCATAACACTTTTAACATGTAAAGCTTCTTAACACTGTTTTTATTCACTAAAGGTAAACTTTGGGGCCAGCCCAGTGGCATAGTGGTTAAGTTCAAACACTCTGCTTTGGTGGCCTTGGGTTCACAGGTTCAGATCCCAGGCACAGACCTACACACTGCTCATCAAGCCATGCTGTGGCAGTGCCCCACATACAAAATAGAGGAAGATTGGCTCAGATGTTAGCTTGGGGACAATCTTCCTCAAGCAAAAAGAGGAAGATTGGCAACAGATGTTAGCTCAGGGCTAATCTTCCTCACCAAAAAAATAAATAAACTTTGGTGGTCAGTAAAAGTCATCTTATGATGTGTTGCTACAACAAAATATCAAATCAAGAGATTTAAGGTCAGTTTTCTCGTCCTTATCAAAAATCCCTTTATATCAGTACTAATTTGAAAACAGTAATGACTACACCATAGTTTCCAAATCCATTGGATTTACAAATAGGACCAACTTAGCAATAAATGGAAAAGGTAGAGATCTAATCATCATAATACTAAAATGTAACTGTAAGATATTTTTCTGAGGTATGTAGCAAAATAAGTCTCAGATTTTAAAAAACTGTGTGTAAAAACATGTTCATAGCAAGCCTTTCATAAGAGCCAAAACTCAGAAACAACACAAATGTCCATCATTGGTAGGATAAAAAAATAACTTCTGGTTTAGTCATGCAATGGAATATATACCCAGTGAGACTGAGTGAACTATAGTCAACATGTAAGAACATGGATCTCACAGCGTAATGTTGAGTGAAAGAAGACATACAGGAACACTTTCATATGGTGTGATTCCATTTACAAAAGTCCCCAAACTGGCAAAACTAACCTGCAGTTTTAGACATCAGGAGAGGGGTTACTCTTGGGGGTGGATGGGGGGAACTGTGGTTAGCAACTGACAGGACAGTCGTGGGCTAGTGAACTGACTCTCCAAAAGGCAAAAAAAGCCATGATTGGAAGTGTTTGCCAATGTCTATGGTGTAAATACCACACTGTGGTCAATTTCAAACTACCAACAAGACATCACTGCAGAGCTGGGAAAAGGTGAGCAGAATCTGCTCTCATGAGCTGGTAGGAGCTGGCTCCAGGACCCCACTGGGCCCAGGCATCAGACAGCCCTCTAGGAAGCTAATAATGTTTGGTTCTTGATCTGGGTGTTGGTTGCACAATAATGTACTTATTTCTTATGCACTTTTATATATATAATGTTATATATAACATATATGTTTATATATGTTATATACAACTATTTGTAAATATATACATTCATATACAGATATAGAACATATAATATATAGTTATAAAATTTATATATAACTTTTATATATGTACAATTACGTATATGTTTATATATATAAATTTATATAAAGTTTACCTTTAAGATGTACTGTAGATGTATTACTAAACGTGGCAGCTAATTTTAAAGCATTTCAAGTTTATTTGTGTTTAACACACGAAATAAGATTATACTGGACATTGAAGAACAACTTCTCGCAATGAAATTTAGGCTCCACATACAATTAGGACATGTTCCCCCAGCATTAACAGGAGGTGCTTTACATCTATTCTGGAAAACTTCCGCTTCACAAAGAAGTTACCATTTAGCTAGGTCTAAGTTTAAACCTAAAGGCTGATGGGTGAAGTAGGCTGCCTCTTAATAAGCTACAACTTGCAAATTTTGTACATAATGTACTTCAGTCATCACCATTTTCAAACAGACTTGAAATAACCTTTTAGAATAGTAAGGTCCCTCAAAAACGTATTCAGCTTGAGGAATTAGTACTACCTCAACCCACAATGACTTTATAATTAGAGCTAGCATTTAATTTGAGCCTACGATGTGCCTGGCATTTCACAAATATTGTGCTATAAGCTAGAAATTATCTTCATTTTACATCCAACCATTAAGTGATACAGCTGGTGTGCAAATCGGTCAATTCAGTCAGACTTCAAAGCCACGGTATTTCCTCCTACCCCACACTGCCATCTGGAGCAGATAATACCTGTGCTCTAAAAGCCCGTGCCCAGAATAACCCACGTACAGCTCTACGGCAGGAAGGTGCCTCCAGCGGGTACATGTTTTATTGGTGCCTCTGGCCAACAGCCATGGGCTGTAGAAAGGACTTTCCAACATTAAGCATCCGTCAGGACAGCTCTGAACTACCTCTCTGCCAAGGGGCATCTCAGGTACCAGTTTGTCCTCCCAAGACTCCCATGATCCCCATGGGGATTGTTGCTCTAGATTGAACATTGACTCAAAAATTGTTTTCAAATTGCATTGAAATCTATGCAAATGTATCATAAATATGGATTGGAACTTCAAGATTGCAAACAACCTTATCCCAAATTAGGGCTGACTTACATAAGTTCATATTTACTGTCCCCAATATCACCTCCTACTGACCACAGCTATAAAGGGAGGAGCTAATTGGCAATTTTTGTTCAGAAAAAATTCACTTGGATGTCAATAAAAATATTATTATAGTTTTGCCAATACTTCCCAAATAAGTGATTCATTATTTAACCTCTAACGAAGCAAAAGGAGGACTTTGATTCTCAAATTCAGATTTTGCTCTCACAATACTGACAAATCAACTTCCTTTATTTTTCCATGTGCTTTCTAATCTAGCAATCATAGCATATATATATATACACATAGATGTTCGTATATACATATATACATGAGACACACAACATTCATATTTCTATTTCCCTTATCACTTTGTAAGGTAATTGTTTTTTATATTTCTGTCTTTACTTCCAAAGCATAGTTCTCTTGAGCGTAGGTTCCACGTTTTTTATTCATCTTTGCATTCCATCAGTAAAGAATACAAATGGTAGCATATAAGAGCACTACTAAGTACTTATGGATTATTTGCTATCATCCCTTTTTCATTGTAAATAATTCTAATGTTTGAAATCTTAGATGATAATTTAATATTTCATATTAACTCTGTATACATTTTGCAAGCAGCTGTAATCAATAGAGATGTTACATAGTGAACTCAACTTTGGGTTTTCTACTATATTAGAAATAGTTCACTTATTAAATTGGTTTCCTTTATAGTGAAAATGTAAAAGTTTAGACTAGATAGGTTTTCTAACAACCCAAAATATTCTGGGTGAAATTGTTCTTTCCTAAATAGTAGGAAGAAAAACTTATATCCCAAAATATTTCATATCTTATAATTTCCACAAAGCTATTAATAACCCAAGAATGAAATTCCAACTTTACACAGGTAGATGCTATTCTGCTGGAATAAATATTCAAACCTGGTTCTACCTAACTAAATGAAAACAATATCTTAAAACAAAGAAATACTTGTGAAAGAGGCAATCAAAAGCATTTCCAACTTACGTTGCAAAAGAGAAATGTAAACTCATATTATTTAAAATATAGATATTCTAAATATTTTACCATTTTATATTTCAGAAATAATTAAGAAAAAGATGAAATACAATCTCTCAAGTATGTAAAGATTTAAAAATTATTCAAACATCCACATTTTTAAAAAATCAATCAGAGACATCAGACATCTGAGCAGGTGTTTGGGGGCTGGGGGAGGTGACAGATACTGACAATATCTCCTAGCAGGTATTGCCACATTTAAAAAAAATTCAAAACATCATAAAACAAATTGTTCTTTTTTTAAAAGACATTTAACTTAATAAAAATAGCATATCCTTTGGTTTCAATCAAATCTCCTTTGGGTTTCTATTATTTAAAGTAATTTTCCAATGCAGTGTTCATTGTTTAACATAAAATTAGACAATGCTAGCATTTACCTTCTTGCCTTCAGAGTTGCTGCTAACAGCTGGCCAGGTAAGTTTCAATCCACACCCTGTAGGGAATGGAAATATATGAACTTTGCCCCTCCCACAGTGACACTTTTCCAAGTGCCATTTTGGAATCCAAGATAAAATTGTCATTGACTGATTAAAGGAAAAAAGAGAACAGAAAGGGAATGTGTGGCATATATGTTTTTAAATAAATTCTCATACTAAATGTTTTCAACTAAATTAAATATTTAACTTACTATGTTTATATTTTCTTTGCTCTTTCCAATTGGGTCTCTTTTTAGAGGCCTCATAATAATATTTGACCCACACCTTTCAACCCAAATCCATAAACCAGATAAAGAGAAGCAGAGAATTATTTTACTTCATATACCAATGGTCTTGGACATTCTCTTATACTTGAATTTCTATATGATTCTACACTTCTTTTGACTTATTACATAGGACTTACAAAATACACTTTAAGCTATTTTCAAAGTTTTTTTCTTCCTGCAGCAGCCTTGGGGTGGGGGTGGGGATTACTAGTTAAATTGTCAACTAGAATAGCTGAATACCAATCAGGAGATAGAAATTATCAGGACCTACTGACAGAGAGATGGGGGAGGTGGGGGTACTTTCCAGAAGAGAACTAATTTTCTGGGAACCAAAGGACTGATCAACTGTGTACCAATATCTCCAGAAATTCTGTCTAATTTCACTTCCTGCAGTATGTGACCTTCTCATTTATTTATCTTATTTATCTATTCAAGGGATTTTAGAGCCCCACATACCCCTACTTCCTTCCTTTCCTCTTCCTTCCTTCCTTCCTTCCCTCCTTCCTTCCTTTCTGTTTTTCTTATCAAGCTTCTGATAAAGCTTTCATGGGACAAATATTTTCCACAACCCAAAAAAACAAAAGTTTTAAAGCGGACCCAAATAATTTTTGGTATTGCTTTTAGTTCTAACATTCCACAATCCTGATTTGTTTATGACTATAAACATGGGGGTCGGTGAAGAGGGCACAAATGTTGTAACTAGAAGAGAGTCAGGAAGAGTAAAAACTGTGGGAATCGACATGATTGGTGGACAAAATGAGGACTCCTCTCTGGCCCCCCTTTGGGCAGTTTTGTCTCCCTTTTCTAACTTCTTGTCTGACAACAACATTATCTGAGCTCCAAGTCCACAAATATGATTATATTAGACACAGGGAACTTCAAAAGCAAACTTGAAAGTGGGGGATATTGCCATTATGGAGAATACAAGCTGCTTATATATACTATACGTATATGTATATTTATATGGACAATGTAAGCTACTCATGCAGCTAGTGTATAAATGAAACAAGGAAAACCCAGTTTTATAAGGTAAAATATCAACCGACGGAAATTAGTAGCCAAGTATCAAGAGGGGCTCTCAATTATCAGTAGTAAACATAGAAAACAAATGCACTGTTAATTTTCTTCACTTTTTCATTTGAAAATGCTTGTGGTTTTTTTCTCTAAATGCTTCCACAAAATTCTAAAAACCATCATTTTCCTGTTGAGTTTGATCATTGGTTATGAATTACAAGATATTGGAAAATTTTACTGTGTGAATCAATTAATACTTCATGCCAGTTGATCAATAACTACTTCATGTGGTTGCTGTCCAGCATTGCCTTTCAAAAGGGTGCTATCTACATTTAGAACAGGTGACTTTTTTACCAGCTCCCTGGATTTCCGGTTGTCACGTTTGTTATTGTCAGCTGGTGATATTTACATGGCGCTAGGCTTCTGGATGCTCGTTTGAATATCTTTAATCTAGGATTGCATCTGTTTATCCTCTCAAATAATCCAACAGAGATCTGACTACAGATGCCTGTGCCCTACAAGCCTAAAAATTTGGTGTGGTATGATTATTCAACCAGCAATGATGAAACCCACCAGGAAATATAGCTAAATATTAAGATGATGTGATAAATCACTCAACAGGGCATGAGAATTCACAGAGCACTCACCATGTGCCAGGCACCATTTGGAACTTTGCATACATAGTCTCATTTGAGTGACTGAGGAAAATCAATCTCTCTAATATCAATGACTTAAAGCATCAGAGAATTACACTAGAGTTTGAAGGAATTTTGAAGGTCAACTAACCTGACAGTGCTATTCAAGGCAAGCTAAAAAGTTTTTCTGTGTCAACAGGCTGTAAAAATAGGGTTTCATCAAGTGTAAAGCCAGATGACTCCTAGATATATTATGACTCATCAGTAGTTATGAGCCAATCATTTAACCCTTCAGTAACTTTTTCTGCCTGAAATTAAAAATTCAGGGATGCCAGAATGACTCACTAGACAAAGTCTTTGCCAGTTGGTGATGCAAAGCAATATGATTAAAATTCTCCTGTGTGGTAAAGGCAGTATTTTTGAAATATTGTGAAGAAGCTCTTTTGCATCCAATTTTACATCACAATACTGAAGAAACACAATGTGTTTATGGGGAAAATGTCAGCACAGAGACTTTCGATCTAATGAAAAATGTATCTTTTATCTAAAGTAGACAGTTGACCTGATGTCCATCATTTTATCCTCCAGACTTAAAAGCCTGGGTAACAACATATAAAATCAAAAAAAAAAAAAAAAAGATTCCATTGAAATGACAAAAAGCAACAATAATAAAGACTAAAACACAGTAAAGTTGTTTTAAAACTTGCAATCACCCTTAAGATATCAACTACCCTTTCCATAAAAGACCTCAGTTCTCTTGGATCCAAAACTGAATCCTGAAGGCTTGGAAACAGTGCCAACTGCCTGCCTCGAGTGACAGAGACACAGGGACCAAAGACAGCCAAAGCTCTGAGATGGTAAAGAATACATCACAGAAAGAGCGGTACATTCACAATCAGAGGATCCAGCTCCTGGTCTGACTCTTACTAACCTGAGGTCTGGAGCAAATACCTCTTGAACTTCAATTTCTCACCTATAAAAAAATAAGGATAATAATATGGATTTTCTTGCTCTAATATGTTATACAAATGTGAGTATTATTATTATAATTACATAGAATTAGTACTGCACTAACTTTTTTTAATTTCTTAGCCAAATTTATATAACATACGTCTATTTCTTCTATAATTGTAAATCAGGGCTTTGTCCTTCAAATCAAGGTTCACAAACCATAGCCCACAGGTCAAATCCAGCCTATTGCCTGTTTTTGTAAATAAAGTTTTATTGGTACACAGCCATACCCATTCATTTACCACTGTCTATGGCTGCTTTTGAGCTACAATGGCAGAGTTGAGTAGTTGTGAAGAGACCATATGGCCTGTGAAGCCAAAAATATTTACTATTTGGTCTTTTCCTGAAAAGTTTGTTGATCGTTGCTTTAAATGATGAAACATAATTTTTAAAGCCTATGAAATTTTTATATCCTTAGATGTATAACCTTTCCTTACATAGAACAGTTGTTATAACACACATAACAAATACAGTTTTTTAAATTAAAAATATGCATTTCAGTTTGATCCTAAGCCCAGGAAAAACTCTATGACCCTTAAATATTGCACTAAAATAATAGCCCAGACATTCATTTGGTGAATAACAGTTTAATGAGTGCCTACTCTGTGGCAGGCGCTGGGTGTACAATGAACAGGAGTGTGATGGTCCCCGCACTCATGGCGCCTAGAGCAGTAGGAGCTTACAACCCAGACTGTATTACCAGCCTCTAGATATCATAAACATTCCTGAAGGACCTAATATGTAACAGGCCCTTCCACACCCATTATCTCACTCAGTCCTTCCAATAAGTCGGGGGAGAGACATTATTATCCCAATATGACAAATGAGAAAGCTGGGACTCAGACAAGTTAAGTTGCTCACAGGCTCACAGTCACAATGCTAGAAAATAGCAAGATGATAACCTTAGCACCTTCCTGTCTCTCTGATCCCAAGAACAAAGATCTGCAACACATATAGCTTCAATACCAGGACAACTAGCCCTGAAAGGGACCCCTGCCAGCAACAGCTTGTCCACCTCCCAGCACGTACCTGGAAGCCAGTGAGGACTGTCCCCAGCTAAAGTTGTGCTTTGATGAAGTCAATTCAATATCACACAGAGGAGGGGACAGTTGAGCCCTACAGCCTGTGGAAACTGGTAAGGATAGGTGTTGAGCAAGTGACTCGGTGACTTTTTATGACCATGAATCAGAATAATTAACCTATAAGGTAGGGGTCAAAAAAACATACATTTATGGTCATTAACTCAATGGATTTTAAATTATAGTAATTATCTCTAAGTCTCTCTTATCATTCCTTTAGAACAAAGCATTCCACTAGCACAGCCTCTCTTCACAAGCTATCCCACAGCCTGCTGTTTCCTGGAAGCCACAGGTTAGAGAGGAAACCTTTATCAAGGGCTGCTAGAACAGCCTGGACTTTTTATCTCTGTTCTTTATTCTCCCTAAACAACTTACAGAGCCCTTTAAGCACCATGAAACCCCATGAGTTCATAGTTTGTCAATGGAATATACAAAACCCAAGAGGAGTGGTTTTCATAGTGTGTCCCAATCCACTCCCAGCAAATGGACTGAGTGGTGACAGAACTGTATGGTCTGAGCCAAATGTGAAGCAAAGTAAACTGTAGCTGAGAGAGAAGATGTCAGGAATTGCAAATTTTCTCCATGCCCCTACACCTACTCAATCGTGACTGTAACTCCACAGCTGTCTAGGACAACTCACTGAGCATCCTCACCAATTATTTTTCCTTCTGGCATATCAGACAAAACCTAGGAAATGAACAAATTCTCTCCCCTCTTCCCTTGTCTCCCTAGTTCCTTCTCTTCATCTCTGTCTTCCACATCTCCTCATTCCTGATCCCTCATCCCCACCATACCCATTTCCCCATGGCGCACACTCGCACTCTTGCTCTCTCTCTAATCCTATTTCAGAGGAATTAATTCACCTGCAAAACATCACATACTACTTATCATCATAGAAGAATATTGACGCTTTTTCAAAACATGGTTCCTATTTCATTAAGGAAAATAAGCATCCTTGGAGGATTTTTGAGATATTTAGAGGACAGTTAGCTCGTTTTGCAGCCTTAGATCAAAGCTATGACACTGAATTTCCATTGGAAGGCTCTTCTTTTTCATGTAAATTTCAGGACTTTACACTGGATGTTCTATGGAAACCCCGGGCCATGACTGAGTGAGAATCATAATTTGAGGAGCACACACTGTCTGTAATTACATTAAAAATGAAGACCTATCCCACTACATAAGAAAAACCGGGGCCGGCCCCATGGCTTAGCAGTTAAGTGCGTGCGCTCCGCTACTGGCGGCCCAGGTTCGGATCCTGGGCGCACACCGACGCACCACTTGTCCGGCCATGCTGAGGCAGCGTCCCACGTACAGTAACTAAGAAGGATGTGCAACTATGACATACAACTATCTACTGGGGCTTTGGGGAGAAAAAGGGAAAGAAAAGGAGGAGGATTGGCAATAGATGTTAGCTCAGGGCCGGTCTTCCTCAGCAAAAAAAAAAGAGGAGGATTTGCATAGATGTTAGCTCAGGGCTGATATTCCTCACCAAAAAAAAAAAGAAAAAGAAAAAGAAAAACCGACTGTTCTGTGGGATGTTCAAGTTGTGAACTCCTAACCTATAAACCAGAGAATCTAAAGGAACTTAAAGTAGCATATAACTTGCACATATGAAATTGGGGTGAGTCAAATTTAACTCACAGAATAATAGTATAACTGAGAATATAACTGTAAAGGCAATAACAGTTTTGAATTAAGGAAATGGCCAGAAATTTTGGGTAGTATGGTATAAATGAATTTTAAATAATACATGTCATTTGAGAAAATTCAAGATATTTAGCAATATAGATAAAAAATAAAGATAATTCCAGCCCATCAAAATCTAGAGTTTCCTTTTTTTCTATACACTCTCTTTTTACATAATTGAACTTATACTACATTTGTAATTTTCTTTGTTGTTTTTTTTCATTTAATACCAAAACAGCATGGTACTGGCACAAAAACAGACACACAGATCAATGGAATAGAATCGAAAGCCCAGAAATAAACCCACACATCTATGGACAGCTAATCTTTGACAAAGGAGCCAAGCACATACAATGGGGAAAAGAAAGTCTCTTCAACAAATGGTGTTGGGAAAACTGGATAGCCACATGCAAAAAAATGAAAGTAGACCCTTACCTTACACCATACACAAAAATTAACTCCAAATGGATTAAAGACTTGAATGTAAGACCTGAAACTATGAAACTTCTAGAAGAAAACATAGGCAGTACGCTCTTCGACATCGGTCTTAGCAACATCTTTTCAAACACCATGTCTGACTGGGCAAGAGAAACAATAGAAAAAATAAACAAATGGGACTACATCAAACTAAAAAGCTTCTGCACAGCAAAGGAAACCATCAACAAAACAAAAAGACAACCTAACAATTGGGAGAAGATATTTGCAAACCATACATCTGATAAGGGCTTAATCTCCAAAATATATAAAGAACTCATGCATCTCAACAACAAAAAAACTACCAACCCAATTAAAAAATGGGCAAAAGACCTGAACAGACATTTCTCCAAAGAAGATATACAGATGGCCAACAGACACATGAAAAGATGTTCAAAATCACTAACTATCAGGGAAATGCAAATCAAAACTACAATGAGATATCACCTCACGCCCGTCAGAATGGCTATAATTAACAAGACAGGAAACAACATGTGTTGGAGAGGATGTGGTGAGAAGGGAACTCTCATACACTGCTGGTGGGAGTGCAAACTGGTGCAGCCACAATGGAAAACAGTATGGAGATTCCTCAAAAAAGCAAGGATAGAACTACCATATGATCCAGCTATTCCACTGTTGGGTATTTATCCAAAGAACTTGAAAACACCAATTTGCAAAGGTACATGCACCCCTGTGTTCATTGCAGCGTTATTCACAATAGCCAAGACTTGGAAGCAACCTAAGTGCCCATCAAGGGACGAATGGATAAAGAGGCTGTGGTATATATACACAATGGAATACTACTCAGCCATAAGAAATGATGAAATCCAGCCATTTGTGACAACATGGATGGACATTGAGGGTATAATGCAAAGTGAAATAAGTCAGAGGGAGAAGGTCAAATACCGTATGATTTCCTTCATTAAGTAGTAGATAATAACAACAATAAACAAACACATAGGGACAGAGATTGGATTGGTGGTTACCAGAGGGGAAGGGGGGAGGGAGGAGGGTGAAAAGGATAATTCGGTACATGCGTGTGGTGATGGGTTGTAATTAGTATTTTGGTGGTGAACATGATGTAATCTATGCAGAAATAGAAGTACAATGATGTACACCTGAAATTTTTACAATGTTATAAACCAATGTTACTGCAATAAACAAAAAATTAAAAAAAAAATACTTCAACTTAAATATTTTTCCATATTTTAAAATTCTATTCATAGGGATTACTTTTAATGACTATGTTGATGTGCCATAAATTACTCATCCATTCCCTTATTAATTAAACATTTCAATGGTTTCCAATTTATATAAGTAGTGCTATTAAAAATCTTTGTTTTGGGGCTGGCCCAGTGGCATAGTCGTTAAGTTCAGCATACTCTGCTTCGGTGGCCCTGGTTCACAGATGCGGATCCTGGGTGCAGACCTACACCGCTCATCAAGCCATGCTGTGGCAGCGACCCACATACAAAATAGAGGAAGACTGGCACAGATGTTAGCTCAGGGCCACTCTTCCTCAAGCAAAAAGAGGAAGATTGGCAACAGGTGTTAGCTCAGGGCCAATCTTCCTCACCAAAAAAAAAAAAAAAACCTTTGTTTTTAGCCTTTTTATCTGAACTTCTGATGGTCTCCTCAGCATAGATATCTAGGTGTTGAATTAGTGGATATAATTCATGACCATTTTTAAGCTTGACTACATCATGTCAAATGTACTCCAGAAAAATCCCACCAATAATGCATGGAAGGGGCTGCTTTTCTGCTCTGTTATTTACTAACCAATTTTTCTCTTCTAAAACCTGGTGATTAAAACTTTTCTTTCCTAAGAAAGGTCCCTGAGAGAGGAATGAAAAAGATCAGCATTCTTTATGACTCCTCTAACATAAATCATGGGTGACTATTTACACCATTTATAATTCTTTCAAGTCAGGTTTTGAACATCCTTCAACTAGTCTCTCACCTTGGGGTGGCGACAGGGGGTGACCACCTAATTTTCTGAGTATTCTTAAGGGAACTCCAAAAACAAGTTGGAGCGTACCTTTCTTGTATTTTTCCCTGTGGCTCTTTTACCTTGTTGCAATTCTTTATGTCCAAGTATTAAGTTTCTCCAGTGGCACCCAGTAATGACTTACATAGGATGTGCCATTGCAAAACTTAGAATACAAGCATCAAAAATGTAATTTATCTGGTTATATTAGTACACAAAATTAGACTGAAAAAAACAAAGAACATAGATATTATCCATGTGGCAAGTGCCCCTGGCTAACGTCCAGCTGGTTCTCCCTTCTACCACAAGGATTTCTGGGAGAGCCTTGCCCCACCACCATCTGTCTGTCTCCCAGTGTACTTGGGGAATACAACTCACTTTAGAAAAACCCTACACTGGACATTGATGTGAGTACCCAAACAGAATGACAGGACATTGCCTGTGTTTTACTTGAAAGTGGAGGGAAGGGGGCCTGGTGAGTGGAGGGAAAAGATGGAGAGGACAGACGTTAATTCCTTGACACAGCCAAGCAAGAAAACAAAGCCTTTGGCATCTTCCCATGTCCCTTTCTGCTGCCCTCTATTCTCCCACGTGCTAGAACCTCTCTTTCCACTTTTCTGAAGGTAATAGCAATAAAAACATTGTGCAGCCCCTCCTAGTGCTTACTCGGCTTTGTTGAAGAAATGTGAACATTTTGTGCATGCTTTCTTTCCCTTTTTTTTTTAAATAGATTTTATTTTTTTAGAACATTTTTAAGTTTACTGCAAAATTGCACAGGAAATGCAGAGAATGTGCTTTCTGGTTTCACACTTCCTTATCAGCTCTAACTGCGCCTTTGGAAGGGCCTTGGCTGTGGCTGCTGATGACAATTACAGGAGCCCTTGAGAAGAGCCATGGT